ACGACTCAAGACCCTGACAACGCCGACGCTCCTCCATCATCATGATATTGTTCAGGGGCATTAGTCCTTAGTTTCAACCCTTTTGGTCATTCGATGACAAAGGGGGAGAAATTTGAGTTAGTCTTCAAGCGGGTCTATCCTATATGGGCGTTTTTTTTACTAAGTTACAACTCTCGTTCTTCTGATGACTTTACTGGACCGAGTTGTAATCTTAAACTCTATGGTGGCCTGATACTTTTGCTATGTTCTTCTGCATGCTTATTCCTCATTAATGTCAATGCACGCATGTTGAATTACATCAGTCACCATATTTCATCATGCATTTCAAAATTCTTCATATTATATGTCAAATACGTGTATGAATTACAAGATATAGGGGGAGATCTCCATGATTATACTCTTCAAGTGTGCATTGCTTCAAAAGAAAATTCCTCACTATGCACATCTTCAGGGGGAGTTCTTCTATATCTTACAATCAAATTCCTCAACATCAGTATCTACACTTCATATATTTATCCCCGTTGAAAACTTAACCTATATTGTCATCAATCACCAAAAGGGGGGAGATTGTAAGTGCATCTAGTGCCCCTTAGTGATTTTGGTGTATTGAAGACTTATAGGTTAAGGGACTAATGCGTTTGTGAGTGTACACAGGTCTATAAGTCTATGAGGAGTTTGATATTTACAGAGAAAGTCGACCCCTAAAATAAAGTTCTTCAACTAAAGACTTTAGATTTCTGAAGACTTTCTGAAGACTTAGAAAGTGAAGAAATTGGTGTGACCCTGAAGACTTGGCAATCATTCGAGGAACATGAAGCGTGAAGACTTTTGTTTTCGTAGTTTCATTTTCTCTTTTCTTAAGTCATAGGAAACACCGTACTGTTAAAGGGGGTCGAGGAAATACTAAGGAAAAATTTCCATGTGATGCTCAACTCAAAATCCTACACCTACCAATCCCTTCGAGTGAAGCCATTGGAAATCTCATACAGTTCAGTCATATTCTTCAGTGACAGAGACGAGGTTCTTCTGGTCTCTGAGGAATTTGTTCTGACTGAGGAGTTAGGAATTCGCCAGTGCGAATTGCCAACACAGTGAGGAACATGATAGCCCTGAGGATTTTGATAGTCAAAATTCCGACCGTTGCTGTGCTATGCGCCAGTTGTTCCAAAATATCTACCCACCTAACGGTCATATCAGACAAGGGCATTTATGTCTTATCATGTTGGGCTGCTCCCTAGGCTATAAATAGCCACCCCCTTCAACCACTAGCTGGTTGAATGCTCCGATAGAAACTGACACTTGTCATTTGAGAGCATCCCATCTTCCGAGGACTTTGATTGAAAATCATCAAGTGAGGAAAACCCAAACCCAACACCTACACACCCAAAGTGATTGAGCATCACTGAAGAGATTGATCCTGCGTGGATCCGACACTTGTTTCCTTTGAAGACTGTGCTTCTTCCAGGCGGTTAGGCGTCAAGGTCTAGAGCATCCAAGAGGAATTGTGGACCGTCGAGTGACCGAGTTTGTGAAGGTTCGGAAGTCACCTGAAGACTTACCACGAGTGATTGGGCGAGGTCTGTGTGACCTTAGCTCAAGGAGAATACGGTGAGGACTGTGTGTCCGGGACTGGGTGTCCTCGAGTTTAAATACTCAGCCGCTCCAACTAGTTGTACAACTGAGACAGCAGTTGGAACTAGTCTACCAAATCATTGTCTTCACTGAGCTTACTGGTTCTATTTTCTCAACTCTTTCATTTCCTCATGTCTGTTGTTGTGTGCCTGTTCATATCTGTTTGAAGACTTTGACTGGAGACTTTCTCAATTTCCTCAATTCAATTTCTTCAGTCTGTCCGTCTTCTTTCTTGTGTTATCTTGTGTTTACGCTTTCTGTACTCTGTGCTTGTCTTCATTTCATTATAATGACTATGCTTGTGTTCTGTTATGTTTACTTCTAAATACTTATTCCGCTGCAAGTAGTTCTTCAGTTAGGAATTTCCTCACCAGCAAATTCCTCAGTGAAGAATCCATAAAAATCGCCTATTCATCCCCCCTCTAGTCGATATAACGCACTTTCAAAAAGCTACTATTTAAGCCTGGAAACCAATAATGTGTGAATCCACATCAACAATTTCTCGGGCTGAAATACCCCAGCCTTAAGTTGGGGAGCTCATGTACTCATATGTGCTTCCATTGGGCGGTGAATGGGTTCCTCCTTTTTTGCGAGGGGAATGGGTTCCTCCTTTATTGCGAGGGGAATGGGTTCCTCCTTTAAGGTGACTGTTGGAAAAGTGGGTATGTCTCCATCTAGAGGGACCCAGCTGACCATGGGTTGCTAAGAAAGAATCGTGTGTTAGTCCTTGCCACTGCTAGGTTCAACGTTCAGATCATCCAAAGTGCTAATATGATGTTAGATAGACCTTGTCAATGCTATAAGCACAGTAGAAACCAAACATACCGAGTATGTGATGCAGATGTCTGTTATAAGAATTTCTGGGCTTCTCTCTAGGCCTATATGTGTGAGTGTTGATGATATGATCTCCTTCAGTCTATCCACGTGATGCTTCGAGTGGAGAGGGATCGAGTCAATAAGTTTAGCTTGGGTGTCATATGTGGCACCAAATAGTTGACTCACCATTGCTTGTCTTGTCATCTTTTAGATCCTCTGGTTTGGCTGGGGGTAGCACTCTTGCAGCTCCAATTCCACTGTTGTTACCCTGTACGAAGTGGATGATACATGTGAACAAGGTGAGGATTGATAAAAAACGATAATACCACTGAATTAACGAGGAAAAATGTATATGCACACGTTGGAGTGGTAATAAGCGTCAGGGGATGAACTAATGCATGCCAAGTTGCAAACGGGCTTGCTTCTTGTGCTAGCTAAGACATGCTATATGCTATGACATGCACAACAATGAAATATTAGCGTTTCCCTGGTATACAATGAGTACACAGGAGCTAGAAGTCCATAACTGTCCCAAATTCATGTGCAAACTTTGGTTCTAGCAGTTCCAGTTCACGCACATGCATGGATGATAAGTACTGCTCCTATCCACGTATGGTTGATTGTCGACAGTGGCGGAGCC